CAAAGTTTATTTTCCAGCATGGCTGTGTACCGACCTGCGGGCTGCCTCTGGGGGTGCAGGGTGTGGATGTCCATGGGGAAGTGCAGCTTGTTGCGGATAATCTCCTGGTTCTTGCCAGTGAATTTATTGGCACTGTTGATGCTCTTGGTGTGCCAGTCAGTCCAGTAGAGGCTGTCCTCAAACACCGTGATGGCGAACGGGTGGGGCAGGCCTACAGAGAGAGTAATACAGAGATTTCAGAAATGCTGAAAAAATGCTTAATGAAGTGTGGAATAAAACCAGGTCAACCACATATTCCCTGAAAAAAAACGAGCGGTTTTTAATCAAAGTAAACAAACACAGGCGATAAGTCTGACACCTTTATAATGAGCACATAATACTGATTCTGTGAAGTTCATGTGGACATTTAAATCAAAACAGAAAAAGATGGAAAGAACAAATGCTACATTTGGCTTGTTCCACAAACACTCTCCAAACATCCTCCCATTCAGAGCTGTGGGCTTGGCTGATGTCATATCGTCCCCATTTAGAGCTGCTTTCAATTACTCTGCCTCTCATTGGCCTGTAGCCGGTTTAGTTGTGGCCAGTGCGGCCCAAAGCAGAGACGCTCCATTGGTTTCCTTAAGTAATGTGACTTTTTTCCGTCCCGAATCTGAAAGCAACATCGAGAACAGCCCTTAAACCGGGTCAGAGTACTATAAGAGACTGATACTGGACAGACATGGTCCAGTTCTGGTCTTGGTCTTCAATTAGACTTGATTTACTTTGTAGATTGTAATCATTTTAATGGAAGATTTTATTCTAAAGGACAGTAATATATCACAGATTTCCTTTTCACTTACAAGGAGTGAATACAGTATGTGTGCTCTAATCCAAAAACAATCTTTCTTAGGTTTAATTGAAGACTGTAAGTGTCTGTTGGACTAAATGGTCTTTAGGCTCTTTAGGTCTTTTGAGCTTAACAACAAAAATACTTCGGCAGAAACACTAAATATTTGCAAGTTCCTTACTGGTCTTGTCTTAAAACATATCTGAAGAACAGGATGTCTCTTAAAGATCTGTGACTAAATGAGCAATAATCAAATTAAGGTTAGAAAAGTATAGCTGATGTCACTTTGTTCATGTCAAATAACCATTTGTTGTTCTAACTTTGGCAGATAATAACGTGCTCATGTAAAAAGCCCATCTCTTATAGCAAGAGGAAGATTACAAACACACATTTCAGGACCTTTAAAAGGTTGCCTACATTAGGCTTTGAGTCTGCAACTACTTTTGTCTTTGTACAATTTGTTGACTTGTGCCGAAAACTGTCAGCGTCAGTGTTCACAGTCTGTATTAGCGGAACCCTGGCCTAAATACTAACATGTGTAACAGGGAACTCCTTGCAGATTTGTCTCCATTGGGAACATCTGTTCAGGGTGACTCCTCCACACTCCAAATTAACGTTCTCTTTCTCTCTCCAGCCTAATCCTCCTCCAATGAAGTAGCTGCACAACCAGTTGGATGAGAGTGCCAAATGGGTGGAAAAAGTGATTTCTGCTGCTACACAGAGCCACGGTGGTGGCGCGGCGAGCGTGCTGGCGCAGGGCTTTTAAAAGCAGCGCAGCTCATTTAATGATAGTGTTTTACAGCACAGCATAAATGTCAAGTGGTAAATGGGTGAAGCTGGAGAGATACCAGAATGATAATGAGCCACGAGGATTAGAGCAATTGTGTGTGCGCGCTTGAGTGTAAGCTCAGTGAGACCAAAGTTTTATCATTTTAATCTATTTATATGTTTTATGAGCAACAAACTATTTGTTTAATGCCCCTGCGGTCACGGTGAACCCACCTAGATTAGTGTAGATGAACAAAGAACGTGTTTTACTTCAGTCTGCCTTCAGAAAATGTCTCATCTTCCATGTCAAATCTTTGTTAAATTAGAAGCGCATTGCTTCCTTTTAGAGGTGTATCAGCACATGTTGGCTGATAAGTAACAAGAAATTGCCACAGAAATGATATGTAGATACACCATTTGTCCACCAGAGGGCATCAACAAGTTTATTGTCCAACAGTAAAATGTCCTGCTCAGTCCATACAGTAACTTGATCACAGTTCTTTAATACCCATGTATGGCTATTGTACGCTTCTTGTGGACTTTTTGAGGACTTCAGACTTTATTGGATCCACACACACTAACAACCTGCAGGTTTAAATACTGATTTTGATTTGATCCTAATTCTGTAGATGATTTTTATTGATGTGTTTAAGAGTTAGAGGTACTTACTTCTAATGTGAATTTTATTTTGATTTAATGATTAGATTCTGTATTCATTTATTGCCTGGAGCTTGAAGACTGCATTTCCCATTTGTACTTGCATGGCAAAGCACAGACCCACTGTGTTTAATGTCATTATAAGCCATGAGATACTTTTTGAAAGGACGGCACAGTGACTGAAACCTTGGCTTTATCATTAAATACTAAAATTGAACATACTTGTTCTTTTTTTTTGTCCATGTTACATTTCTCATTTAACAAAAAAAAGCCAAAGATCAAAAATGTTAAATGTTGTCTAAATATAAACAGAACTTTTATTAAACTAGATCAATCAGGAACTGTCTGTTCAAAGAGTACTTCAAATAAGTACATTTTCTAAGTAATACTACTCAATACTAAGTTACTACATAAAAAAAGGTACATTTTTAAAAGCAAGAATCAGTCCAGACAGCTGAAAACAATGAGACCACCTCCTCAGACAGGTCCAGGTGTGTGTGAGGTGATACTGGCTGGATGTGTGCATTTTCTGATCTTATCTTAACATGAGGGAGACAACAGTGCACCCTCTTCCCTCATCTGAGTCATCGACAGCGACGAGGCGCCTGGTTTTGATACGGTCACCTTCTTCCTTGTCGTCTCTGCACCCCTAGTCCCCCCACACGCTCTTTTATTTCCCCGGGACAGCTGGAGGAGCAGCTGCAGGCCGACAGGGCATCAAACGTCCCACCCAGCCTTCACAGTAATGTCCCCTTTAATCTACATGTGACACCTCCCGGTCCTTTCACGCCTCGACTGAATCTGTCACGCTCTCTATCTACAGGTCATCAGCAACACAACGTCGCCTCCAGCTGGACAGAATACTGCTCGGCTTACAGCGTGATGGACTGCAATATAGGGAAAGTTTTGTGATTTTACCCCTTTCAATCGCATTCCTCTTAAGTGGCGTTTACAATACAACAAACCAAGTATACCAATGTTGCTAGGCATGCCTTTTGTATGACAAGCTAAAGAACATTCATACTATGTAATAATAAAAATCAAAACTCAACTGAAACCGGGTGGTGACTCTTTGGACTAGCGTTGCCGTTAGGTAAAACTACTACATGTACAAGAATTACCAAAGCATATAAGTAGATTGACATGAAACATTTATGCTCTCCAGAGGAAGACCCCTTTCTATTTTGGACACATGTTTCCCTTTAGTGTTACCCTCAAGAAATAGTACTAGATCTCAGTCTAGTCAATTCCATGAATTTTACTCAGCACATCACTGCTCTCCAGAGGATAACCTCTTCATATTTGTATAACCTCATTGCCTAGTACACTTATTATAGTGCTAGGCAACTCCTTTGTACCTCAGTGAAATTTCAGACATTGTGTTAAGACCTGTGAACTGAGCTGTTGTCCACAAGGGTGCATTGTTTCTTTGCTCTATTGTCATTACTTCTTATAGGGCTGATTGGACGTCCATTGTATCGCCTTGCAGCAGACGACTCACAGTGAATGAGGCATCACTGCAGCATACAGCATTTGTCCTCAGGCAGATGTACTCTATGATCACATCCATACACGCACGCGCGCACACACACACACACACACACACACACGCACGCCCACACACC